GAGGCTATTCGATTCAAACACTATAATACAAGTGTGAAGACCAACTCAGAGATGCTTCTCGTGTCAAGTCTCGACTGAGAGTGAGCTACCGAGGCAAAACTCGGCGGTTATTTAATGAATAGCGGTCGGACTGCGGACTGGACGTCGAGTGCGCCGCAGCCTACTGTTCAAAAAAGCCTCTAGCAGGAAATCACGGGGCGCAATGTTGGACTTTTATTGCGTCCCGTGACACCCCCGGGGTTTCGGACAAGCATCTCTGAGTGTTGGTGTTTTGTTTTTATTCTATAAAGAAAAAATGGTTGAATACATGGCAAAATACAGTATATAGAATAATATATATGAAGTAGTAGGTACTGAAAAATAGGTTAGTGTATGTTAGATTGTCTTTGGCACTGTGGGGGCTGTCCAACGCTGGCTGCTCCGGTAGTCCGGCTGGCGGCTGGTTGGCTCTGCTGGGGGTTGGCCGACGTCCCTGGCCTCTCGTGGGGACGTGGCTGTTGAGTCCTCTTGGTGGGCGGCGGAGAAATAGCGACCATCCTCACTGGACGTCGCTTGCGCCTTATATCAAGGTGTCCGGGAAAATGCTGGGCCGGTCGTTTGGTTGGACCGCCTACAGCGGGTGGTGGCTGGCTCAGGGGTTTGGTCTCTGCATGTGGCCTAGCATGGCTAGGGTCTGATATCGTCTCAGGGTAGGCTATCAGTGGACATGGAGGGCGGTCGTCGTCCAGACGTTGGACCCGTCCATGGTCCGTAGGTTGCCGTCCTGGTTGGCTGGTTGGTTTTATTAGTGGGTGGTAGCTGGCTCGGGGGTTTGCATGTGGCCTAGCATGGTTAGGGCCTGGTGTCGCCTCAGGGTAGGCTATCAGTGGACATGGAGGGCGGTCGTCGCCAGACGTTGGACCCGTCCATGGTCCATAGGTGGCCGTCCTGGTTGACTGGTCGGTTTTATTAGCGGGTGGTGGCTGGCTCGGGGGTTTGCATGTGGCCTAGCATGGCTAGGGCCTGGTGTCGCTTCAGGGTAGGCTATCAGTGGACATGGAGGGCGGTCGTCATCCAGACGTTGGACCCGTCCATGGTCCGTAGGTTGCCGTCCTGGTTGGCTGGCTGGCTTTATTAGCCGACCGGTGTGGAGACCGTCCTGGTCTTGGGCCTCGGTATGGGGTAGTCGTGGCTCTGTTGGCCGGTCGAGGTGTGGACCGTCCTGGTCCGGAGCCCCGATTTGGGGTGCCGCTAGCTCTATTGGCCGGCCGAGGTGTAGGTCATCCAGACCTTGGTCCTCGGCTTCTGCGGCTTCCGGTGGTGGCATCTCGTCTTCCTCGTCCGAGGAGACGTCATCATGGACTGGATTGCCCGGTGGTGCTGGGCTTGTTGGTCGAAAAGGAGGGTCACGGCTTGAGTGCCCTGACTGGTGACGGTAGTGTTACCACAGGCAAGTTGCACCTGGGTAACATGATCGCCCTGGGTGGCTGTTGGTTGGACAAGATCGGCTCTCACTATGTTGAGGGCGGCTCCAGAATCAATTAGGGCGGTGCATCTCTGACCTTCCAGGTAGACGGTCAGACGTGGCAATTCGGCATTGGTTGGGACGACCTCATTGGTAATGTGGTTGAGGTCGCCGACAAGGGCTTCGACATCCATGTTGTCGTAGGGGTTTGGTTCGATTGCCGAGAGAGGCGATTCAACAATCGGACCTGGATCTGGGAGGCTCACTGCCTCGGTGGCTGGGCTGGAGCCCTGGCTGAGGTCTGGCTCGGACCTGCAGCAGGTTGGCTTGGGGCCGGACGGGTACTGGTATTCGGTTGAGCTTGATTGACTAGGGTCAAAGCCTGCAGAAGTTCGATGGTGCTTGGCGTGGAGCTCTGCGATGTAGGAGATCCAGGTTGGGACGGTAGTCCTTGATGCTGGTAATTATGGAAGGACACCTCGCTGTCCAGCAGGGAAGGCCTCAAAGGCACTCGTGGTGGGGTACCAGGTAGGCACGGTGATGGCTCCATGTCGGATGGTTAAAAAAAATTTTTTTTTATTATTTATTTTTTTTATTTTTATTTATTTGTTTATTTTATTTTTTTTTGTTGGATTTATTTTTATTTTATTTTATTTTTTTTTTATTTTTTTGGATTTATTTTTATTTTATTTTATTTTATTTATTTTTTTGGATTTATTTTTATTTTATTTTATTTTTTTTTTTTTTTTTTTTTTTTCAAAAATGGTCTTCAGACCTAGGGTGGACCTGGTGGACCTGGAGCGGACCTAGTATGGGCCTGGAGGACCTGTAGCAGACCTGGTGCGGACCTGGTGGACCTGGAGTACGCCTGGTGGAGGCTTGGTGGACCCTTGTGGACCTAGGGTGGACGTAGTAGACCTGGAGTAGGCCTAGCGTGGACGTAGTGGACCTGGTGGACCTGGATTGGACCTGGTGGAGACCTAGTGGACCTGGACTAGGCCTGGTAGTCGTCGAAGATGCTTCGCTGGGATCGCACAGGCTCCCTTGCCTGTGTAGGTAACCTGGATATCGGTTACTCAAGCCTCACGTGCTGGGCGCAATGTCCACGAACGCGGTGGTTTCCGGACCCGTTTGGCGATGGTGACGTGGTTGGGGGTATCCCTAAGAATCCCCAGGACACGCTGGATGCGTGCAGGAAGCGTTTCTGCACGGCCGCGGCTGCTTCTGCGGATGTCGAGTTCGGCTCGCGTTGTGAAACGATAGGTGTAGGGTTCCCCTTAATTAATAAGTAAAGGGGAACTTGTTAACGAATTATTTTTTCCCTATTTTGTGGAATGGCAGACCAAGCCGTGCCACAAGCTGAGGGGAACAGCTTTAATATACCCCGAAGGGTCGCTGATACTCAGTACTACTACTATTTAAAAATTGGTAGCGACTACTCGTCACTAAAGGAGCGGACGATGAGAGGCTATTCGATTCAAACACTATAATACAAGTGTGAAGACTAACTCAGAGATGCTTCTCGTGTCAAGTCTCGACTGAGAGTGAGCTACCGAGGCAAAACTCGGCGGTTATTTAATGAATAGCGGTCGGACTGCGGACTGGACGTCGAGTGCGCCGTAGCCTGCTGTTCAAAAAGGCCCCTGGCAGGAAATCACGGGGCGCAATGTTGGACTTTTCATGCGTCCCGTGACAACGTCATCATTGTTTCCAAGAATGTGAGTCATGCCAACCTTTGCAATAAAAAATAGCTGCTATTATTTTTTCAAATAGGTCAAATGTAAAATCCATTTAAAACATACCTTTCGGTGGACACCCTGTATATGCCTAATAATAGCATAAACTAACCTTTCCCAACTGATATTTATACGTAAATATTCGAATGTCGGCGTAATATTATTTTATGCGATAATAACTATATGATCAAAATTTGTTTACTTTATAGTCACGTTCTCATATGAAGCCGGAGAAATATGTTTATTTACATTAAAAAATAAAACTTTTATGCATCCAAGAGAGTATCAAAGCAAACGCTAAAACCAAACAACTCATATATGTTGATTCTACACGGGATTTATTTTTTTAAATAATACTTTTGTCGTGAGTACTTTTAGTCGATTTTTATCTGAAGCCTCCGCTTTGTTTATATTAAAACATCTTATCTGGTATTAGTCATACACAGCTGTGGGCACATTCCCGGAAAGTTACATCATAATCATGAACAATCTTAAACCCACGCGCGCGCTAGTTTCTTATATTTTCTACCTTATAACAAAAAGATTGATACCATGAGGCCGTCGCCGCTGCCGCCGCCGACCCCCGCCGCCCGCTGCCGTCGTGCAGCATCCAGCAGGCCAACTCCGGCCGCCTGCTTCTTCATCCCGCTCCCTGCTCCCTGCTCCCTGCTCCCTGCTCCCTGCTCCCTGACGCAGGTATTCCGCTGCTTCCCCGCACGCCGGCACCCCACTGCCCCCCGCCGCTGCTCAAGCACGCACCTGGTGCCACCTCTGACGTCACGTTCCTAGATGCCGACCTCCTGGTCATTGCCGATGACGGACCCCGGCTTCTTCTGCAATCCAGATCCTCCACCCCCGCACCTCACTGACACTTCTTCAGCGTGACCTTGGAGCTGCTGCTGGAGACCTGGTGCCAGCTCCGGATGGCGGCAGCCCGGTGGTAGCCTGGAAGTGGCTTAGAATCCCCACTGTTTAACTACTTATATTGACGCATTTCCCTTCAAAAGGGCTATCCATTTATGTTTAAAAAAATTAGGTAGTGCTATTTAAAAAAAATTTCGATGATGTCATAGGTATATGAAACATAGCGCAAAAAAGGTTTAACCAACGTGACAAAACGACAATTCCTATTTACTAATTGACGTGTTTTAGCGGTTTTTGTGAAAACTCTACACAAAGTAAAATACGATTTTTTTGCGTTACTTCTGGGACGCACTGTATTTAACAGTTTGCAGTGTTGTAGTTGCATTGCTCATTACTTACAGTATTTATATCAGTTGTGTTGCGAGTTGTGCAGTGATTTGATATTTGGTTCGTAAAGTAGAATACGACTTTGGTCGTCGTACCTACTAACAGCAACAGCTAACAGACAACAAACGGGAAGTCCCGAATTTCGTAGGCACGACACGAACGCTCTCTGTACTTGACAACCATAATGAAGTTGTATAGGGCGTCATCTCTTGTAGCATAGCCATACGAATTGTTCGATAGTCTATCGATATTTTTGTAAACTATCGATAGTTTCCGATAGTCAGAGAATATCGATATATCGATAGTATGTACTATCGATAGTATCCGACCACTACCTATTACTGACTTAATTAGTACTTACAGAAAATTGTCAACAACTTATAAGACTACATTAATAAAAGGATCCCACAAAATAATTTTTTGCATTTCAAGTGTGCATCATTTAATAATAGTTACTAGTCGGCAGTAAATTTGTAAAAATGTTTAAAATATAGTTACTTCAATTAGGTGTTCGTTTTTTTGTAATTGGTGGATTTAAAAAAGAGTTACTTAAATTTTACATTTTTTAGAAAACCTTTTCTTGCCCGTAAAACATCATTCTAGTACATATTCCTCTTACAACGACATCCCCAATAACAATCAGCTAGTACCTTTGCCACCTAAGAAAAAACAAAATATGAATACCGTAAGGTTGGACAAAATATTAGATGACCTTGAAAAAGAAAAAAAAGAAGATTTTCCTAAATGCAAAGTAAAGAAACTAATAAAACAATTTAGTGGATCAGACAGTGAATGTGACGTTGAGTTGTGGACGAACAAACGATCTGATTTTTCTAGAGAAGATGTAGACTCGAATAAATTAAGCAGGCTGTTGGATGAACTTGTCAAGGTTACATGTGCACCAATTTTAACTCCAGGATTGACCTCCAGTCTTATTAGTACGAATTTGATAGATGAAGAGGTGATAAAAATAATTCAAATTGTGGTTTTTGAAATGTGTGGATTTTATTTTTAGATAATAAAATTATTACCTACACGTCAGAGACGGCACTCCGATTCAGACTACGATGTTCCAATACCTCATAAGTCATTTATAAATCAACCAAAAAAAGAAAATTCTCCAGAAAATATAATTGGTTCAACTAGATTCTTTGGACCTATTCTAAATTCTACAGATAATAACAGGAACTATGAGTGAGTATCTAGTTACAATTCGATCTATTTCATCTAGCCGGAGAAGGTCACACGTCTAGAGACAAAGTGCGTGGGGGACCGCAGAGCTCATTTCTCATTGGTTAAAAGTAAACGTTTTACATTCTTGTAAATAATAACAAAACACACATAAATAATTTCAAACAAAATTTTAAATGCGCAAAGCTGAGAAATAAAATAATAAAATAAGGAATATATAAAAACATATTTTTTATATAAATGATAATATTTTAACGTGTTTAAAGATAGCAGATAATACATGAACGGTTTTCGCTTTCTTTCCCGATTGTATTTTAGTTCTCACCACTCAATCCTCTAATTTTTTATATGTAGTGCCCATCCTTTCACGTTTGATAATCTCACCGGTCAGACGAAATTGATTGAACTGTAAGTATTTATGCAACTAGTGTTTTTTAGCATGCAACGCGAAATTGCCAACACGTAAAGTGCTAAAACACTTTTTTGCACCAATTGCCTACAATATTTTTCTACAGTTTCCTAATAGTTTTTTCAACAAGAAAATAATATTTAAATATATGTAACATTTAGATAAATAAGTTTGATTCCCAGGTCTGTTGTAACATATCGTTAACCTACTTTGCAAAAATCGTAAGTTCACTTGATCAAATTTTATAGGAAATAGAAAAAACTGTTGTTCACTCTCAATTATTCAAAGTAACTGATAATATTGCACACAACGTTATTTTGCAAGAAAATAAACGTACTTTAAATAAATAAAAAGAAAATAAAAATCTATGATTTATAATAATTATTTATTTGAATCACAAGCAATCACAAAAACTACTTAAAACCTAAAGCTGGCGTCAGACGATAAAAGTTGAACAGACTGTATAGGCCATTTTACTAACTTTTCATCAAGTAGTTACTTCTTCCAAAAGTAGAACCATAATGTCTACTTTGATATTAATGTAAAAGTTTCTGGCATAGTAGTTCCACTATTTTTATAATAGTGGAACTACTATGGATATATACTATGGAATAGTATCTTCTTACATGCTACAATTTATGTGAGTAACTGTTATTAAAAAAAATGCCAGATTCGATTTTATCATTTTTCGCACTGTATATAATATACAGGGTGTCCGGTAAGTACCTCCTAATCTCTCGGGAGTGTATAGGGGAGGTCAAAATAAAACTAGTCCTTCCTATAATTTTTTTTCCTAATGTGCCCCCTAACGGAGTTATGGGGGGTCAAAGGGGTACCTAGAAATTAACGTTTAGGGTTATAACTTTGAAACCACCCTGTATATTTTAATAAAATTTTCGTACGTTGTATTACACATGGAGCTCTACGATTTGATGCTAAAATCAACTTTTTGCTATTATCAGGTGTCCAGAAACGGACTGGCCCTATCACAATTTTTCTCAAAATTTTGACAGAAGTAATTTTATCAAACTGAAAATATTATTATTAGATACTCTGAAGGTTTTTCTTTAAAAATGGTACTCTTTATTTATTTCGAAAAAATGAACGGTTTGCGAGATAAATCGGTTTTGAAAAAAATTGGTAACAAAAACAACAATTAAAATTTATTTTTTTTACATATTATTTCATGCATTTAATTTCTTTAACTTTATCAAGTCCAGAAATCTTTGAACGGGTTGGCTATACTTTATGAGCAAGTAGTGACCAATTAAAAATAACATTTGAAAAATAACTTACTTACAAGACATGCAACAAAGAACATTCAACAATGAACAAAGGTACCTAAATGTTACTTCGGTAGATGTTCAAAATGAGCACCCCGTACTTCAATGCACTTTCTAATCCTACGAATGTTTTCCCGGTGCACTTGAAATAATATTCCGTGATTATTGCGGAGATGGTCACAGTTCTGTGTTAGCCTCAGCAGAAGTTCCTCTCTACTATTTACGGGTGTTGAATAAACGTTATTTTTTAAATGACCCCACAGAAAAAAGTCTAATGGGTTTAGGTCGGGCGACCTAGGTGGCCATAATACAGGTCCGCCTCGACCTATCCATCGATCACCAAAAACATTCGTCAGATGTTGACGTACTAAACGATCAAAGTGGGGTGGTGCACCGTCATGCATGTACCACATTTCAGTTCTTATTTGAAGGGGCACTTCTTCTAACAAAATATTTAGATTTTCCTCTAAAAATTGCAAATAAAGAGCACCATTAAGTCTTTGCTCCAGAATAAATGGACCAATCAAATGATTCCCGATAATGCCAGCCCACACATTCACCATAAACCTTTGTTGGTAGCGAGTTTGAACTAAAGCGTGAGGGTTTTCTTCATCCCAGACATGTAGATTATGCGAATTAATTATGCCGTCTCTTGTAAAACCTGCTTCATCGGTGAACAAAATAGATGTACCAAAATTATGATTCCGAATATGATGCTGTAAAAACCAATTGGCGTATTGAAGTCTTTTTGGATAATCATCTGGAGACATAGCATGTACTTTTTGGATGTGGTACGGGTAAAGCAATTGTTCTTTCAGAGTTTCATGTACAGCCCATTTTGTAACATTGTTTTGCGCCGCAAGCTTCCTTATGCTATTTGAAGGATTATTAGCAACGTCTTCCAATATTTGTTCCTCTACATGAGGGTCTCGTACTCTCCTCGGGGCTCCTGCTCCACCACGGCGTGGCAAAAAGCTTCCTAAATAAAGGATTCGGAAGAAATTAGTTTCACTAACGTTTTTCACTATTTTTTTTTACCTGTTTCTCTTAAACTACGATCAACTCTTTCAAAAGTTTTTGGACTCGGCAAATGTCGACCCGGAAACCTTTCCTCATAAAGTCTTCTTGCCTCCACGGAGTTGCATAATGCTTCCCCATAAATTAGGTGCATATCAGCATATTCTGCACAGGAATATTCTTCCATTTTTAAATGTTATTTCTAACGGCTTAAAACGAATACCACAATAAAATTGAATTTTTATTCTGTCACGCGCCTTTGACAAGTACTTTAAAATCAACAGGGTCTAACAACGAAAACAATAGAAAAGAACTCCATGGAGACAAGAGCAATAATAATTTGTAGATGTATTTTGGTCATAGATGTTGATTTTACAAGAAACGGCATTATTCATTCCCTTAATTCACCACCAGTAAATGTTTATGGTGAATCTGTAGGCTGGCACTAGCGGGAATGATTTTATTGTAAAAAAATAAATTTTAATTGTTGTTGTATTTGTTACCAATTTTTTTCAAAACCGATTTATCTCGCAAACCGTTCATTTTTTCGAAATAAATAAAGAGTACCATTTTTAAAGAAAAACCTTCAGAGTATCTAATAATAATATTTTCAGTTTGATAAAATTACTTCTGTCAAAATTTTGAGAAAAATTGTGATAGGGCCAGTCCGTTTCTGGACACCTGATAATAGCAAAAAGTTGATTTTAGCATCAAATCGTAGAGCTCCATGTGTAATACAACGTACGAAAATTTTATTAAAATATACAGGGTGGTTTCATAGTTATAACCCTAAACGTTAATTTCTAGGTACCCCTTTGACCCCCCATAACTCCGTTAGGGGGCACATTAGGAAAAAAAATATAGGAAGGACTAGTTTTATTTTGACCTCCCCTATACACTGCCGAGAGATTAGGAGGTACTTACCGGACACCCTGTATATTCGTAAACAGATTCAATTTGGAAGTATATTTTGCTGATTTTTTTTTAACATTTTGTTTGACTCCTTGCAAAATTACAAATAAATGTAAGAAACGCAACATTTGACGCAAAATTGAGAAATCTAAGAAAATTTATTTCTTGAAAATTACAAGCTACATGCAAAAGTGTGATCAATTTAAATTTTGTACAGGACGCACTATTTTTTTATCGTTTTATGTAGACGATAGCCGATGTCTCTCCTCCACTGGTTAGTAATGCAATTTAGTAATTTTGTAATACGTCAGATTTTATTTGGATTTCTTTCTCTGTTTGGAATGAATAAAACTGATATTTCTTTTATTCTTTCTTTCTTTAATTTTGTAAAGACATGTTACTCCTCGAGGTATGTTCATTTAAAATGTAACCTGAAGGGTTATTTCTTTAATTATCTACCTTTAATTAATTATCTATTATGACCAGTATCATAACGAGTCTGGAGAATTTACTATTTAATTCTCGAAAGGGAGTTTATAATTATCACTATACTTTAATTAATACGTGGGAACTTAAAAATGTTGTATGTTCAGAGAATGAATTTCAGGCACTTACCCTCTATTGCTTACGTAGAATGTAATCCAGTGGCTGCTATACAGGGTGTCACTGAGGTTGAGAGAAACAAAAGGAAACACCAAAACTTCCAGGAAGGGTTTTAATAACAATAAACAAAACCAACAAACAAAGTAACAACACAACGACTCGAACAACATTATTAATTAATTTATTGACACGCGACAGCATACCGAGATTCAGGGAATGCGCGCTTCATAGCAAACATTTGAAAGAACTTTATCCATTATTAAATTTAATTAATTAGCCCGAGACTCTAAAGTTAATTAGACTGCTCAACGTGAAATCCAAGGAAGAACTCTGAAACTAAACTTACTTACAAGTAACCCTAGCCTTCCTCTAGCGACTCCGTGTAGCAAATACGGGACGGATTAGTCGATCTCATTTAATCTACTCTTATAGCTTGGAAAATCCGTCAAAAAAACAGCTTATCATGTATCTTTCTTTTCCAATCATTACACAGCTCCACAAAAAAAAGTATCGGATCTGATATTCAGACCCCTGTATTTCCATGTACTTTTTTCCGCTGAATCCGAATTTGCCTTCAAATTTGGCCCAACGGGTCTGAGTTTTCGGGAATATTTAAAAAACAGGTCAAAATTCACAAAAAACGTCATTTACGATCGACGAAAGATATAAAAAGTAAAATTATTCTACCAGTTCACTAGACGTATGATTTTTAACTCGTTTAATTCCAATTTATCATCATAGAGTCAGACAAACTGGTCCAATTTCATTCAAAAACAGAA